ATCTCTTTCTTATCTCTAAAATCAATGCCTAATCTCTACTTGCAATTTTAATGGGCATCTCAAATCTATTATGTCCAGTTCCTAAGTCTTCATCCACTGCTCCCTCTTCCTCCAGCCTGTTTCTTTCCCAGTCTTACTTAACTCAGTCAGTGGCCCCTCTACCTTCCCTACTGATGAGGACAAAAAACAAGGAGTCATCTGTGAATGCTCTCTTTCCCAGGACTAACTGGAGTCAATAGGTCCTGTTGACTCTAATTCCAAAACCTATCACAAACCTGTACTGTCCTGTGATCATCCTTGTCTGAGGCATAATCATTTAAAAGGACTTCTGGCTTCCTTATTTGCCCATTTTTGAATCAATGCAGCAGCAGGAGTGATCTTTTCAAAATATAAATTAGATCATGTCATACTCCTAACAAAGAATTTTCCATTTTGTTTAAAATAAAATTAAAACTCCTTATTTGGCCTAAGAGAATGCCTTTCCGTCTGCTTTTCAGTTCCACTCAGGCTACCTCTCCCCTTGCCCAGTATGCCAAACTGGCCTTCCCTCAGTCTCTCCGATACCTACCTGCCCCAGGGCCTTTGCACTAACTGTTCCCTCTGCAATACTTATCTTTCCTCTGTTAGTTCCTGACTTTTGCCAATCAGGTTTCAATATAGATGCCACCTTCTTGGAGAGGATGTTTGTGACCACTCAACTCAAAGTATCTACCTAATCATGCCTTATCATATATCCCTCATCTAATTGCTTCAATCCCACTTATTACTATCTGATATTTTCTTCTCTCTGTATTGACCCCCTTGTTAATCATCAGTGTCCACTGCCCACTGAAGTTCCCTTGGCTCAAGGCCCTTGTCTGCTTTGTTTAGGGCTATATCTCCAGGGAGATGGAACCGTGCTTGGCACATTATAGGCACGTCAAAATATTTGCTGTGAATAAAGAAATGAGTATAGAAATGAATTTTTACTATCAAAGACAAAGAAGAATAAAAGGCAGAGATGTTTATGTTGGTTATTATTATATCCGATGCCGTCGAGTTGATTCCGACTCATAGGACAGAGTAGAATTGCCCCAAAGGGTTTCCAAGGAGTGGCTGGTGGATTTGAACTGACGACCTTTTGGTTGGCAGCCGTAGCTCTTAAACACTGCACCACCAGGGCTCCAAATGGCTTATAAGAACAGAAATTTATGATGGTAGAAAGTTTAAAAGGTTTTAATTAAATCTGGATTATCCTACATGCTTCTTTTTCTTCCTGATATCCCACTAAAAAGACAGAAAAGGGACAAGAAAGGCAGCAGTAGGAAATATTTCTCCTCAATTACCATACATCTAAGAGATAATATCTAAAATTGATAAATCAAGAAATGGCAGTATAATCATATTATTTAGCAGAGTGGACTAAATACCAAAAGGACTAGCTAAAAGAATTTGAGTAATTGTACCTGGATGTTAGGAACTAGAGGTAGATGACGATGGATAAGAAGAACTACTATTTTGTACTGTGTATCTTTTAGTCATTTTTAGAAATATATGCAGATATTTATTTGGATTAAAAAAATAAACTTATTCCTCCTAAACCAAACCAAATACACACACACACACACACACAGTCACATATTAGACATGGAACTGGGAGTGTGGCTATAAATCCTCATATAAAGAGACAGGCCAAATACTCTTGAGTTCCCAGCTGGGGGTTACGAAAGTGAAGCCCATGAAGTGAGAGTGGTTGTCGAGATGTGGAAGGGTCAGTATACTGGCTGCAGCACGGATCTCTGAATGTGACAATCTTTAAGTCGTATCTTAGGGCCACCAGATTTAGTGAAACCATCTTTTGAAAGAGCTCATAAAACTCAAAAAAAACCAGAAGTACATAAAATGCTCTATCAATCAAATTTGTGAAAAATGCTTTACTAAATATCTCAGATTTGCATGTGGCAATTTCAAAAGGGGGTATCCAATTCGAAATATTATTTATATACACACTGATTAAAAGTATGTAAGTGGCAATTTTTTTTTTTTCAAGAGTTTTATCTTATCACTGTTAGTATTATGTGATGGCAAAACTCCTGTTATATTTTCCTGGTGAAACTTTCACCATAGGAGTGAGCTGTCACACAATGTCACTCCGGTAAATACAGATTCCAGGCCTTTCTGTAAAGACTGGGAGGTTATAACACAATGAATCCTATGGCAAAGAATTGTGAATGAAAAAAGAGGGCATTTTGAATTTGCTTTTGAGGAAAAAAAAAGGCAATACTAGAATGTGAGGGACTTAGGCAGTTTTTAATCCAAAGGAAGTAAAATTTTAACTACTTGTGATGGGAACTGGTTCATAACTGTTCCATCAGATCCTGTTAGAATTTTGTTAACAATAGGAAACGTACATGATCATTAATCAGGAAAAACATATGACAACACCTGACAACCATTAATTTTCTAAAGAAGTATTTTAAATGAATTCAAAATAATAAATAAGATAGGGTTGTTACATAAGAGTTTTGATAGATTTTTATAATTTGTGGACCTAGCATTCCATAAACACTTTCATAAGTAGTAGCTTAAATCCTCTGGCTTATAAGTAAGTGAGTGAGTGAGTGAATGAGTGAGTGAGTAAGTAAGGTAAGTAAGAAAGAAAGAGAAAAATAGATAAATTTTGTTGTTGTTTTTCTCCATGCTATTCTTAAAGTAGCTCAACTACTATCATCTCAACATATAAACACACAAAAAAAACTTGTCACTGTCCAGTCAATTCTGACTTATAGTGATCCTATAGGACAGAGTAGAACTGCCCCATAGGGTTTTCAAGGCTGTAATCTTTACAGAAGCAACCTGCCCATCAGACTGCCCATCTTTTGCCTGCAGAGCCGCTGGTAGGTTCCAACTGCTGACCTTGTGGTTAGCAGCCCAGTGCTTAACCACTGCACCACTAGGGTGCAACTCACCCAAGCACACCTCTCAACATATAACAAAAACCAAACCAAACCCATTGCCACTGAGTCAATTCCGACTCATGGTGACCCTACAAGACAAAGTAGAACTGCCCCACAGGATTTCCAAGGAGCACTTGGTGGATATGAACTGCCGAACTTTTCGTTAGCAGCCATAGCTCTTAACCACTATGCCACCAGGGTTTCCTCTCAACATATAGCACCTATTAATATCTAGTGGTAGCAAAACAAAGTTGAGGTGAATTTACTGGTGAAGATAATCTTAAAAGTCAAGTTAAAAAATAAAAATAGAAAATATTGATAATGATGAGCTTAAATAATAAACATCATTCTATAAGTCAAATGAAATTTCAATTTTAATTAAAATTTCAATTAAAGACTCTCTAAAACCAAGTAAGTCTTAACAAATATATATAAATATAATAAGTCTTTAGACCAAAACCAAACCCGCTGCCGTTAAGTAGATTCCAACTGACAGATACCCTATGGGTCAGAAGTAGAACTGCCCCATAAGGTTTCCAATGCTGTAATCTTTAAGGAAGCAGACTTCCACATCTTCCTCCCGAGGATTGGCTGGTAGGTTCGAACCATCAACCTTTTGGTCAACAGCTGAGTGCTTTAACCACTGCGCAACCAGGGCTCCTGAGTCTTTCAGAGGACTCCTTAATTTCAACCACTAGCTGCAATTTCCACTCTTAACAAGCTTACATTTGGAACTCCAAACAGCACTTTCATAAAAGGGTCTCTGAGCTTAAAGTTAGCAGATAATAACAGTTAAAACAAGGCTTAAAATAATAGCTGACATTAGGGGCTTTGGACGCATTAAGTCATTTAATCCTCACGACAACATCAGGTAGGTTCTACGATTATCATCATTTTACAGTTGAGCAAAGTAAATTCAGCTAAGCTAAGTACCTTGCCCAGGGCCATCTATTTCAACGTGTTCCCTCCTTCTTGTGGACTTTCTAAGTTATGAAGATAAGAGACAAGTGTCTTCACTCACACTGTCCTGTTAACATCCACACCTCTCCTGGCTTCTTCACTCTGTCTTTAATAATGAGTCTACCCTGCCCATATGACCTAGCAGTTCCCATGTTTGTCTGATGCTTTTATCTGCCTGATAGCATATTCTCTCTATGCATCCCATTCAGTGCTGACATGGGGGATTCAGAGCGAGTATTACATCAGAGCCTGTACTCTGGAAACAGTCTGACCTGGACTGGAAGGAAAGCTGCCTCTGGTCCGTAGCCGTGGGGTTTTAGACAAGTCCCTTAACCATCGGGAACTTCAATTTTCTCATTTATAATATGGGGATAAAAACAACTGCCTTGGAGATAACTTGTAAGGACTGGGGGTGAAACATGTAAAAGAGCCAAGCCAGAACAGAGTTAAACATTTCACCAATGGTAGCTGTGAAAGATGTCAGAGAATGCAATCTGGGGCTGAGTACATTTGTCTAGTGTCTGTCTGGGCATTTTTAGCAGTCAGACTCTTACATGCTTTTTCTTTTTGGTGGCGTAGTGGTTAAGTGCTACAGCTGCTAACCAAAAGGTCAGCAATTCAAATCCACCAGCCACTTCTTGGAAACCCTATGGGGCAGTTCTACTCTGTCCTATAGGGTCACTGTGAGTCGGAATCGACTCAACAGCAATGGGTTTGGTTTATTTATTTTTTTAACATGATAATTATCAGATTCTTAATAATACTAAAATGAAGGAAACTCATTCCACTGGTTCTTCAAAGTGGTAAAAGAGCTATTTTTATGAACAATTGTTATTAAATGCATATTATTTACAGTTTTCACAAGAAAAGTTTTATTATAGAGCTGTGGGGAACCTTAGATATTAATCAATCCCTTCATTTTTGAATGAAGAAACTGAAACTCCAGAAATTTATATGATTTGCCTAAGGTCTTATCGTTCTTTAGAGGCAGAGCCAGAACTCAAACCCAAGTCTCAGAGCTTCTTAAGAAATAATTAAATAGATTACATTAATATTTGATACTAAAACAAATTATTTAAATGATTGATAACACAATGATCTTACCTGTAAGAACCATACATAACTTTCTGGCAGTCAACTAACAAAAATTTCTGTTCCAGTCTTCCATGGAATTTTGCTCCTGTTTTTGAAAGATAATCTTGGCCTTTTACTGTCCGTACTCGAATATTCTAAAATTATACATAAAAAGTAAAATTATGGCTAGAAAGAGGATATTTTAAAAAGTAAAATATATGTCAATATAAAGCCTTAATACCAAAAAATGTATATGTGAAATAAAATTTTTAAATAACAAAAAAAGTAGTGAACAGCAATTTCCAAAACATCTCTTAAAAATAAAATATTCAGCAAAAATAATCACTTAAAATAGATATTTTAATATAGCTTAAATAGGAGATATTACTATACAGTTGCACAGAACGGTTTCATAAATTACTGAGGATCCTTCCGCAAGACATCCTTTCGGCAGCGGTGATGGTGGTACAACATGATGAACATAATCGATGCCACTAAAGTACATGCAAAAAATGTTGAAATGGCCAACATTTTGTTATATATATTTTTATCATAATTAAGCAAAGAAAAGAAAGCAATTCTCTGCGTTACAGTAGCATGATGCTAACATAACTGAACAATAAAATCTGTTCTCATTTTGAAAAGTCAAAAGTAAGTGAAAACACTATGTTAAATGATTTTGATAAGCAACACCTGCTGAATCAAACAATCCTTTGAGTCAATGATTGCAAGGTTGTGCATGCAAAACTGAAGCATTAATTATAATCGGTACCAAAGCATCAGAGGCTTAAGTTTCCTCCGTCAAGAAAAACACAATGTAAAACCCTCATGAAGATGTGTTTTTTTCAGTTATTGTCTGAAAAATATAAGGAGACGCTTCTGTAATCACTCATTATGCTACCATAAATCTTTTTTTTTCTATTTTACTTTTGCAGTAATATACCTTAACATAGTTTACATTTGACAGATCTGACAAAAGCACACAGTAAACTTGAGAAAAAAAATAAATATGGAATTCTTACCCTGAGACGTTGAATTTGACAACCCTGTTTTTCAGTCATATTTAGAAAATGATTAAAATTTGACTCATCAAGCAGAATGTATACAGATATTCCTCGAGTTGATGCTTCAACTATTTCCTTGAAAATGTCCACATCTGTAAATATATCCATTACTAAAGCAATGACCTGTTAAAGGTAAGAATGAGAAATAATTTTAGATACCTAACAGAGTTATAAACTACTGTGTTTTTACTAAAAATTAGATAAAATAGAAAATAATTAAACACAAATACATAAATATATACAAAATCAAAGATGGAAAACAATATATCAAGCAAACAGTAACCAACAATGAGCAGGAGTGGCAACAATAATCTCAGATACATAAATATATACATAAATATTTGTGCAGTTTTCTAAAACAGAAGATAAGAAATAAATAAAAAAGATAATATATTTAATAAAACTATATATTAACTCTGAAAATGATTAAGAGTGAAGTAATGCTGGAAGAAAGAAAAAAACGATTTACTCAAAAAGAAAAAAACAAACAAACAAACTATATGCCAGACAAAAAGATAGACATTCCTGCCCTTGTGGAGCTTACATTCGAATGAGGGAAGACAGAGTAAGCAATAAAAATAATAAAGTTACATAGTAAGCTATAAAATGCTAAATTTATTGGAGAAAAAAATAAAGCAGAATACAGGGGATTTTAGTGACTGGAGATTGAGAACGAAGGGTTCAGGGAATTTCTGTGCAGGTCTCTGAGGTGTTCCTGGAGCAAAGACTTGAAAGGAGTTAAAGATGTTATCAATGGACTTTCCAAGCAGCAGGAACCAACACTGCAAAGACTCTAAGGCAGGAGGATGTCTGGTATTTTCAAGAAACAAAGGGAACACAGTGGCTGGAATGAAAGGAAGGACATGCTTAGAATGCCTTGAAGGCATTATAAAGCCTTTGGTGTTTTTTCTGAATAGGATTGTATGCTATTAGTATGTATCATACTTGAGGTAATAATATGTTCTGATTCATGTTTTAAAAGGATTGTTCTGGCTACTGTGCTGCAAACAAACCTTAAGGCTGGCGGCAAGGGTAAGAACAGAGAGACCAGTCACAACTGTTAGAGCAATTCAAGTGGGAGGTAGGTAATGGTGGCTAGGACCAGGGAAGTAGCAGCAGCAATGAAAGAAATGGTCAGACACTGAATACCTTCGAGCCAAAAGGACTTCCAGATGTGCTGAATGTGGAATGTGAGAGAAAAATAAGAAAAGAGGGTGATTCTCAGGATTTTAGCCTTAACAACCTGAAGGACCGAGTTGCCATTCACTGAGATAGGGAAGGGTGTAGGTACAGTAAGTCTTAGGTGGAAGATCAAAAAAGGATAAGTTAAATTGAGGCACCTAGATATCCAAGTGGAGTGTTGAGTAGAGAGATCTGGGCCAGAGATGTAAATTTGGATCTTGGTGGTGTAGATGTGGTATTTAAATCCAAGTCATCAGGGAGAAGACCAACGAATGAGTCCAGGAATACTCCAAAGTTAAGAGGTCTATTAGAAGAGCAGGTACCAGCAAAGGAGACTAAAGAAACCAAGAGAAAGTGGCATCCTGGAAGCCAAGTAACAAAACTGTATCAAAGGAAGAGGGTGTGATTAACAGTGTCAAATCCTAAAACTAGGCCAAGTAAAATGAGGCCTAAGAATTCACTGAATTTAGTAATATGTAGGTTATTGATGACTTCCACAAGAGTTGTCTTAGTGGAGTAGTGAGAGCAAAAGTCTTATTGAAAGGGGTATGTAGAACGGTGTTATGGATTGAATTGTGTTCCCCAGAAATAGGTGTTGTAAACCCTAACTCCTATACTTGTGGTTATAATCTCATTTGGGAATGGGTTTTCTTTGTTATGTTAATGAGGCAGTATTAGTGTAGGGTGTGTCTCAGTCAATCTCTTAAGATAAAAAAAAAGAGCAAAGGCAGAGACTGGGGAAGATAGATGTCACACCACATGAAGATCACCAAGGAACCGAGGAATAGAAGCTGAAAAGACACAAGGAACTTCCCTCAGAGCAAACAGAGAGAGAGAGCCTTCCCCTAGAGTTGGCGTCCTAAATTCGGACTTCTAGCCTCCTAACTATGAGAAAAGAAATTTCTGTTTGTTAAAGGCACCCACTCGTGGTATTTCTGTTATAGTAGCACTAGACAACCAAGACAAACGTATAGAGACATCAGATACAGACAACTCTTTCTGAATAATTTCGCTACACTAGGAAGCAGAGAATTAGAGCAGTAGCTATGGCTAAAGCTGGGTCAAGAGAAGTTGTATTTTTGTCTTCTGTTGTTTTAAGCTGGGTGAAATAAAAGCATGTTTGTATGCTGACAGGAATGATTCAGTAAAAAGTCAAAATTAAAGATGTCAGAGATGTTGGGATGGGGAGGAGAAGGAAGAATTTCTGGAGCAATGTCTTTGAGTAGGCAACAATGGATAGGATCCAGTGAAAAGAAAGGGGATTAGAGCACAGAGAGTCAAGAATAGTAAAAGACAATCTTTAACATCAAGCCAAAAGGCCAAATATAAGGGTTCAGATGCTGGAGGGAGGGTGTTGTGGTACTGGCATTGTGGAAGCTCTCTTCTGACTGCTTTCATTTTCTCTGTGAAGTGGGAAGCAAGGTCTCCAAGTAAATGAGGAAGCATGAAGATATGTTAAAGGTATGAGGAAAGAGAGATATAACATAATCATGTAGAAAGGTAGGAGAGGGAATAGATAATGAAGATAAGGTATGATTGCTGGGCAGCATTGAGGACCTACCAGTTATAAATTTAAAATGGGACCAATCAATGTGGTTGAAAGTTTTTCTCCAACCACATTCAGCTGCAGGAGTGCAGGCATGGAGTAAGCAGAGTTTGATTTGCGTATGGCTGTGGTTCTTCCATGAGAATATAACAAAGTGAGAAAGGGCAGGGCCATTGAGAGTGTATTCAATGTGGAGTGGCTACAGGGACCGACCGCAGGATCTAAACTGGATAAGAAGAGGGAAGATGTTGTCATGGATGTCAGACAGTGAAGTGGTAGTAGGACCAATGAACTGTAGCTACTGCTGGGGCTTTAGGGGAGTTAGATATTAAGGAACTGTTAATTTTTTTTTTTGGTTTGATAAGTATTTTACCTTTTTAAATATATATACTGAAATAGTTACAAAAGAAATGATATGCTATCTTGTATTTACTTCACATTATACTAGATAAAACAAAATTGGCCATGAATTGATAATTGTTGAAGCTGGTTGTTCGTACATGTTCTCTCTACTTTTGAAATTTTCTATAACACAAATAAAAATTTTATTTTTATTTCAAAAAGTAAATAATAATTTAAAAAAATATTGGATACAATCAGGTACCAGAGGAGGTAAGCTAGAAATATAAACAGAGGTGATGATCAGATGGGGGATACATGAATTAGGCTATATATTCAGTTATTTGGAGCCCTAGTGGTTTGGAGCCTAGTGGCAGTTCGAATCCACGAGCTGCTCCTTGGAAACCCTATGGGGCAGTTCTACTCTGTTCTATAGGGTTGCTATGAGTCAGAATCAACTTGACAAAAATGGGTTTGGTTTTTTTGGTTTTATGCAGTTATTTGCCATGATACTTTCAAAGATATGACCTTGGGAATCAATGGCTGAGGAACATACAACAAGGAAAGATCATAGGAAGAGAAAAGAGAAAGGAACTGACCTTTGGAAGATTATATATATACATATATGTATTGTTGTTATTGCTGTGTGCCATAGAGTTGATTCTGATTCATAGTGACCTCACATGACAGAGTAGAACTGTCCCATAGAGTTTCCAAGGCTTCAATCTTTAAGGGAATAGATTGCCAGGTCTTTTCTCCCGCAGTGTGGCTGATGGGTTTGAACTGCTGACCTTTTGATTAACTGAGCACTTAACCATTGCACTACAAAAAAAAAACCAAAAAAAACAAACCCACTGATGTCGAGTTGATACCGACTCATAGTGACCCTATAGGACAGAGCAGAACTGCCCCACAGGGTTTCTAAAAAGTGGCTAGTGGATTTGAACTGCTGACATTTTGGTTAACAGCTGAGCTCTTAACCACTACGCGACCAGGGCTCCTTTACATATGTATAAAAACCCGTTGCTGTCGAGTCAATTCTAACTCATAGCAACCCTGTAGGACAGAATAGAACTGCCCCACAGGGTTTCCAAGGAGCGCCTGGTGGATTTGAACTGCTGACCTTTTGGTTAGCAGCCATAGCTCTTAAACACTATGCCACCAGGGTTTCCTTACATATGTATAGGTATATGTATATATGTATATACACACATAAACATATATATATACATACATATATGTATAATCTTAATTATCTAGGATTCTTAAATAACCAGCTATATAAATTCCCAGGAATTTAGACAGGAGTTATGTTGGAAAGAATGATGAAGACCCAGGAACAAAAGCTGTCAAGAAATGAAAGGGAATAGAATGGCCTGGGAATACAAATATGACAGAAACAACCAGGATAACTTAATGGATGCATTGCAAATACATTAGAAGATTAGCAAAGTCATGTGTAATATATAGAATACTATTATTTACTCTAATAAGACATTAAAAAAAAAATACTGGACCATGCTTCAAATATCCAAGTAGACAGACACTCTTCAAAATACCTGGAAAACATACCTTACTGAGATTCTCTCTAGGAAGAACAATTCAACTCTCTAGTGGCCACTTCATCATCCTTTTCTTATTTATAAATGCAATGAGGTGCCAGAAGAAGGAAGAAGCTAGTGATAACAACCTCATCTTTGTCTTGTGAATATTCTTTATAGCATCAAGTACGTGAAAAACCTTTATGTCAATCATTTATTATGCATTTTGTATGGGCATTGACATATAGAAGAGAAAATATCCATATTATAAACTTATTTTACAAAATAACTTTTAAAAATACTTCTGGTGAAGTCTGGCACAAAATGTTTTCACCAGAAAAGATTTTTTTTAAATGAAGAAACATTGGAGGTGGAGTCAACATAGCACTACAGACAGAAGCACCATGGCATCCTTCCACAGTAAAGACCTGAAGAACTATGTAAAACAGATACAAACATCAATCCTGGAACCCTAAGCATCAAATCAAGAGACAAAGAACTCAGCCAAGCACCAA